GCGTACTTTAAAACATAAGCAAAAAGCGTGGAACTTTTTTGTGAAAATTTCCACGAATAGAAGTTTATATAACTTTATAACGAGCAGATTTACAGCCTTGAAACTTTTTTCCGTTCGCACCTTCAGTATGGGAAAATCGCTCCGGGGCGCTGCCCCTTGTTTAACATTTCCATCACTGCCATCGCCTGCGCGCCGCAAGACAATTGTCGCGCGCTCCGGGCCGGGCACTTGATTAACTCCATTAAGGCGACTGGAGCCACCAGGCAAAAACGGCGCCCGGAATTCCGGGAGGGAGGAGGGCGCGGAAAAACACCGGCCTGGCGCCGGACGCCGCCAGGGAGGGCCGCGCATCTGCATATTCATAGCTGCCGTGCCGCCGTCGCCGCCCACGTCGCCGCCCACGTCGCCGCCCACGTCGCCGCCCCCGCTCGCTTTCCGCCCGCACCCGCTCCTCCGCACTGGCGTTCCGCCCCGCTCCGCCCTTCGCAACCTCCGTCACCACCTCCCCTGCCCTGCCGCGCCGTCGCCGCCAACGCTGCCCCCTCGCCCTCCCTCACCGCCGCAAGCGAATCAGAACGCCCGGAATTTATGCACTCCGCCTTCCATTTATTATCATTCGTGCTCATAATGACGATGAACGGGCGAATCCATAAATGTGAAATAATGCTACCTTGTTTCAGACTTGCGAATTTACTGACAAGTACCAGAGCGTTTTATTAAATTAATTCGAAGCAGTTAGTCAACAGACAAAAAAAAAATAACGAAATATAACATGCAAACATGTTTGCATCCCCCCTCGTTCGGTCGAAATAACCACCACGTAGAGCAATATGTCACGAAAGGGGAGCGATGTTTAAAAATGAGTGGTAATCCATGGAAACACCCGGCCGCCCGGCAGCGCGCTCTGGGCGATGTGCAGCCCGCGGCGCCGGCCATCCCTCTCCGGCCGCCGCCGCCGCCCCCGACAGCACTCGCAGTGAACTCGCATCACGCTCGCATTGAGGATGGAGGTTTCGAATTTACTCCTCTTCCCAGCGGCCACACGAAACGCGGTTCTATAAAAATGATGCTAGAATGCAACAAATGGAAATCCATCTGCCCTGAAGTGCTGAAATAGTGTTCTTCGTCATCAAAGTACCTGGTAGAAGTTATTGAATATCAAATGTTCAATCGCGTTAACAGAAGAACCCTGATAGTGGCGATAGAAGGGGATGCGAACAAATTGCCCCAGCACCATACGCAGTTGCATACACCAAAGCCCTGGTAGAGCCCGCGTCGCGCGCGCTTGGCAAAACAAAGCGCGGCGGCACGCAGAGGCGGTTGCTGCTGCGCTAGCGGTCCGCGCGCATTGTATTCAAATGCGCAGTCTTGGCGTGGCGCTGCGCCGGCAGCCGCCGCTTCCTTCGCCTTCCGCCAACGCGTCCGCTCCGGTGCCAAGCGACCTTCCACCGAGCCCTTCCGGCGCGGGGCTCCAGACCTCACCGCACGCGCGATAGCTTCCGACTGACGAGTTGAGGTTCAAAAACGGAACATGGAGGCGAGATAAAACACGCACAAATGAATGAACGTGTATATCAATTTGAACATCGAACATTCATTTTGTTTCAATATTATTCTTGCTAGTTATGAATAAAAAAGTGATTTGTAATGGAATTATACATTTTAAAATATATTTGTATGCCCTATCTTTGAAATGTTTAGAAAAATACAATTTCATTTCAAATCACTTGCCTTTCTTCATGACTGTCAAAAAAATTAGGATCAAATATTAAAGATTGAAATAGTAATACAATTTTGTTTTCTTATTGCGCCACACTTTCGACAGGAAATAAAAAAATAATCGTTTTTAAGTTATTAGCCAACTGCACATCGCATTAAGGGCAAGGGCTCGCTCAGGGAATTATTAATCCTTCTTTAATGAAGTGATAGGACGATGGGATGATCCAAATACATCCATGTCCGAGGGAGGATTCGAAACCGCGAACCTTCGATCGGAGCTCGCCACGACACTACTGCCTTAGCGATTTCGGCTATCCAGAACTACTTCAAAGCGGATAGTACCGTGCAAATGTGAATAGCCGTTTTGTTTTTCTTTGGTAAAATTATATTTAATTATTAGTTGAACGAATTCAATGAAAGAGAAGTAACTAGGTATTGATTAATGGCGGTGGCGACCATTCAGGACGTGACTGTTTTAGTTTTTCTGAGCACGAACCGTTCCCGAAGCGCAACACGTTAGGGAGGCCTCTTCCCCGAAGCGCCGGGGGCGGCCTTGTTTCCCGGCGCCTGCGCGGGCGCGCGACCGCCATTCAGCCGCTCGCTCGCTCGGGGCGGCGCCGGGGGCGAGCGAGAGAGCGGAGCGGCGCAGGGCCGCGTGCAGCTGACGCGCTGCAATTGAGCTGTCGCTCCGGGCGGCGCCGCGCCACGCGACGCGACTCGCGGAAGCGCGCCTCGCGACTTGTGTATTTCGCGTGGAGCTGGAGATTTATGGTCGACGTCGGGACGCGTGGCGTTCGGGGCCGCTGCTCGCAAGAACTAGCCGTCGCTCACGGCGACAGACGCCTCCGCTATCGCCGTATTTGTGTTTCCGGCTGCTGTCCGTGTTCGACCGTCTCCCTTGCGATAGGAGCGGAATATTGCTCTCTCTTAATGACCTCGCCTTCTAATTACTTAAAGGAACCCTGATTAGTTACGACTGCCAACAAAAACGAAAAGGGAACGAAAATAACTGAAAGTGGGTCACAGCAACGGCTCCTTTTCCTCTCGCAGATGCAGCACCTAATTCCCACAAGGAATCCGCCACTGCGAAAGAGTCTCAATCTTGTGGATATTCACACCCTGAGAAGCGTCACTCTTATTCTCGCTGAGCTGAGAGCGTGGAAACACAACGGCTCTCATTTGATCTATCGCTTTCATCGCGTGCTTTGTCTGAGGCGCTGGGCGCGCGGGTGTGAGACTCCAACGGCTCCTCTAATCGCTGAGGACATCGAGGACTGCGGAGGAGGCGGTGCACGGAGCGCCCGTAGCGGTAGCAAGGGAAGGAGCAGGGGGTGGATGGGCGGGCACGCGGGCGCCACCAAAGTGGCGACAGGGACGGGCAGGTCCACGGGAGGGCAGGCAGCGGCGGTGACATCAGCGCGCGCAGTCAACAGACGTTGCTCGCGCCGAAAACCGGACAGCGCACCTACGCCGTTCTGGAGAATGGGCCACCCCCTCCCGCCCTCGCGTATTACTGCGTTCGCTCTGAGAATGCCCATTTGTGTTAATCAGTACTGTGGCGAAGGATGAATCTCAAATATTCACGAAATGCAGAATATCTTTGGAATTCCAAGAAAAATATGAACTCTTCTCACATTTCGGATACTATTATTTAAAAGGAATAAAACTGTACTCTCGAATGATCTATAGTAAAATGATACGACATACATGCGAATGCTGGTTTGCTTTCTCTTGTTAGATAAACTTCTTTAAAGGAAATTTTCGATTCACCGCACAAAATAGCAAGCAGTTCGCCCACCCAAACAAAACGTGGCATTCCCTACCCTGAAACCCAACATCCTTCGGTAGCAACGAAGCCGCGCCGGCCTGGAGCCGAACGGCGACTTCACAGCCACCGGGCAAGGCCGGGGCCGCCAGCCGCCGGCGCCCCGGGCGGCGCCAATCAGCTCCCGCCCTCGCCTTCAACTTCACCTTCACCTTCGTCTGCGCACCGCCTCCGCGACTATTTAGTCTCGCCGCCCTCCCGATGGACGGTGAGAATTGCCTCCACACACGCCCAGCCCGCTTCCTCACGGGCGTTCGCCTGTTGTTTTCTCGGAACACCGAAACTCCCGCTCTTCTCCTCGGGATGACACTGCAAAACAATCAGGGACTTTTTTGTTTGTTAAATGAGAGGGAGAGGTGATTGTAGAAGTGTTTATTTTCATATTTTATTTTTATTATTTACAAGTGAGAAGAAAACAAAAGGAAAGCGGTTGGCGACTGAACCACTCTGCAGAGGTTTCACGTACGCCAAGAGACAAACCTTTCAAGAAAAAAGAAAAGTCAACTACTGCTGAAGTGTTTCGAAGCGTCTGTATGTCCGTTTGAAGCATTTCATGTTTTCCCTGCTCTGTGGATTTCAATTTTCTATTTATTTTATAAATTGCAAACTGTTCGAACACGTACATTAGTCGTTTTACTCTGAATGATACATTCCCATTTCATCTCCTGTTTTTGACTGTTAAACGCATCTATTAGAGAAATAAAATGGAATACAGAAAAATCAAATAAGCACCGTTCTCCTGGAATACTGCAATCAGTTGTTTTCACATTAAACAAATTTTCGGTTTGTATTTGAAATATAAATATTACGAGCACGGTATTCATGAACAAAAAGCCAGTCAGTCGTCCATTTTAACATCACGGGCGTCTGCGTTTCGCAACAGGAGGAGCGGTCGCTGCCAAGCACACAATACCCGCATTGCAACGTCGCAGTGGTGTTACCAGTTGCGAAGAAAAATCACATGCGATGACGGCCTACGTGAGCGCATGACTTCATGTTCACTCGTGGACCCGTGTACTTCCACGTACCGACCGCCTTACTTAATCGTCAATTCAAACCCGTACCTAATAGAGGTTTCACTTGACCTTTGCGTCCGCTACTTTACAACGGATGTCGAAACGCACTGCACCTCGTTTGAGGTCGTGTTTTTGAATCGAGGCGGTGACGCAGCGCCGTGCGTTTCCGATTTGTCACAGCGACCTTGCAGCGCCTCGCGCCGCCCAGGCGGCCGGCGGCAACGGATTCCCGTAACGAACCTCATACATCTCGAGGCAGGCGGCGTCCCATATTCAAATGACTCACGACCGGCCCGCTCTCCTCGGTACATTCGCGTTTTGTTACATGGAACACTGCAAATAGTTTGCGGTGTGAAGCGGAATACAACAAAACACCTTGATGGATATTAATTTGCGCAGCGTAGCAGTAATTTTGAATGCGCACATATTGCAATAAAACAATGTATGCGAAATCATCCATCGATGGTAAATTTTGCAGAACTTCTTTGTTCACTATACACAGTTTGTATTGTCATATTTTACAATTCACAAAATAAATTATTACGTCAACTTTGTCACAACGATAATCAATATATATGTAAACTACTCTGGTCGGTGTATTGTTTAAACACGAACATATCATTATTACCTAACTACCTAATTATTGTAACCTAAGTCATGCACTGGAACATTAAATTCCTTATGTTTGACGATATTTGAACCATGAAATTGATTTAAGAGAGATTGCATGATTGAATGTATCATATCTTTTCAAAAATATCAATGTATTAAGAGAATACGTTTGAAATATTTGTCGATATTTAAGAAATTGATAGGAACTTTTTTAAAAATCCTAAAACTCTTTGACATCAACGTTTCATAGTGGGCATTCATGATGGAAATATTAGTGGTGAACGAATTTTCACCTGGACGTGATACTTGATCAATTACATGTCGAAAAGTCTACACGTGGAGTGTATATGAGCAAGTCCGCGCAACAAACGGGCCAAGGGCCGCACACGATCTCATCTTCCTCTTCCGTGTCGCATCCTCACCCCTTACACACCCAGTAACATGCACTACCAACCAAATATGCCGGTCAGGAGCTTAAAGCGTGCCTTGGCAGGGGCGGTGCCCCGGTGGTGGGAGATACCTAGTTGAGAAAAAGCCCGCTAGTCAGCGGTAGGTCGGCGCCGGATCTCGCCACCTCACGAGCAAAAACACGCATATTGTACTTACGGGCCTAATGACCTTAGCCGTTGGCGTACCAATCAATCAATGTGTTCCAGTGTGCTTGTTGTGTTGGCATTGCTAACGTGTCTGTGTGCGCTTGTTGCAGATGGCAGCCGCGGGAGGGACGCGGCCGGCGCCGCCGCGGGCGCTAGCGCTGCTGCTGCTGCTTCTGGTGGGCGCGTGCGCGGCCGAGGAGAGCGTGCGCATCTGCAACGAGTACGACCAGCTCGTCACGTCCAGCACGCTCAACTGGGTGCCGGCGCACAAGGGCGTGCGCGTCGCCCACGCCGTCGAGGTGGGCGTGGTCGTGCCCCCCGGTGAGTCCACTTTCTCACACACGCTTTCTCGCAATAGTCTTCGCTAGCTCTACCCTCTTCCCAGCCGCTACCAATGGGCGCCAAGACGAAATTTTGCCTCGCGAATGTTACCGGCTGCGTAAAATCAGCGGTAATATTGGTGCCTCTGGACATCGGTGGGACTTAGATAATCGAGCATGTTTTTTTCGCAATATACTAGCTCGAATTCATTAAGAGTTAACTAGCTTGTACAATTTCGTAAAATAATATTGCTTACATTTTTGAGTCTTTAATTAACTCACAAAATTCATATTTTTGCATGATAATGAAAAATCTCAAGTAAATAAACGCCCTAACTTTTCAAGACCAGTTGACAAGTCGTGTATTATATATGATGTAAAAACAATACAACATTTAAGGGAGTCGCAGTAGACACATAATAGATGTGCAGGAGCATGAGATACGTAGAAAGGTTCAGGGCCGCGCCCGGGAAGCGGGACATGCTGATTAGTCGGGAACGTGCGCCGGCGAGATCCCTGACCATCCGTCTCCACCGCCGCAACCATCAATCAAGACGCTCCGAACCATCGATCACAAACGACAACCATCCCCTGATTCCGCCTGCCTTTGTGCGCTACTGCCTTCGCCACACACATCTTCATCCATAAATCACCCGCTATCGCGCCTTGGCAGAAGCCAGGGTCTTCTATTATTCCGTTCGTGCATTGTGGTTTCGAATATGCTGCTTGCAAAAGGCAAAAAATGAAACAATAGTCAGCTGGGAATTGAAAATGGCCTGGAAATGCATTTAAAATACAGTTATATATCAAAACCTGCACAATACGCGATGTGAGGGGCATTGAAAGGGTTTGTGAAACTTTATCAAAACGTGGGGGAACGTGGAGGTTAGCATTTCAGAGAAATTCTATGAAATCAGATCCAAAATGTTATTTCCAAATTTAATTGCTATTCCATTTTTCGGTTAGTTTGCATTGCATATCGGCGACAAATCATTATGTCAATATCGCGTGAAACCTCTCATTAGACGCACGATGGCTGTTTTACGAACATCCGCACAACAGCTTTGCTCATAAACGCATGCTCAACAAATGTCTGGCCGGAATATCAGATAACAAATACATTCGTTAACTTTACTACGTATCTTAAATTTGTTACAACCTGAACTACGTAGCAAACGATACCGTGGTGTTGCTAGTTGCGAGGGGAAATTTGAATAATGAACTATTTCGCTTCGGATGCCTACTTCGCTGAAGAACAATACTAATTTGGAGGGAAAACACAACAAACCGATTATTCTGTTTTGAAAGACATAGATTAATTATGCAAATGCAACATCCTATTATCGAAGATACAAGCATTTCTTCATTCAATCACCTTTTTTTTTTAATTAACTCTTCTAAATTCGATGAGATGTAATGTCGAATGTAATTTTGAGGAGCCATCGCCCCGAACCCCATTTCTCCGCTTCTAATTCCTTTCCAACACGCGAAGGGCCGGCGCATGTCCTCCACAGGCCCATTCGCGGGAGGGCGCCGCTCGTAATGGGCGGATGCATTTCGGCTTCCCGGTCGACGGTTCCCCTCGCGGGGGAGGGGGGAGGGGAGGGTCGCACCTTCCCCGTCGGGCTGGGCCTCCGCGGAATGGACCTGTTGCACATTCCATACAAGGCGGGGGGGACGGGGGGGCTGGCCGAGAGGGGTCGCCGTGCATGCCTCCGCTGCAACAAAGGCCGCGGGACATCTCTTGCGCGGCGTTCGCCAAGTGTGATAAACGGGGCGCGGTATTCACGAAGCCGGCGTGCAAACGGGACACTGGTTGAATTTATTGAAATAAATGTTTTGGGCGAATCAACGGCTATGATCCAGTAAGTGTATGCGTTTTTTTCGGGAGGCAAAGTGATCCCCCGCTGGATCGTGAGATCCTACGCCGACCACCTCCACAAGCAGGTTTTTCCCAATCGACAATGATTGTCGGCGACCAATACAAAGTTACAACATGTTACAAAGTTCCAAGTTGTAGGTATTGTGAAGTCAAATCTTCATTCATATGTGTCGTCTAATGTACACAATCACATTGCCTGACAAAAATGCCAATGTTGACGTGCGAATTTGCTAACTTTACATTTCCGTGCAGTATTCATAAGATTATTAATGAATCCAAAAAAATACCCGTGCAACATGTATTTTGACGAAGTAACAAGCTTTTAAAGAAAGTTGAAATACCAAGTATTAGAACTCCTATTCTTCTCGTTTGCAATTCCCCTTTGGCCATGTAGGAATTGCGGCTGGCGACGGCGCGTTAATGGCCGCTGCAGTGGCCGAGTCGCGAATGGCGCCGGTGCGCGCGCCGCGAAGAGAGAGATCTGGCCGGAATATGCAGATACACAAATACATTCGTAACTTTACTTACGTATCTTTAAATTTGTTACATACCTGAATACGTAGCAAACGATACCGTGGTGTTGCTAGTTGCGAGGGGAAATTTGAATAATGAACTATTTGCTTCGGATGCCTACTTCGCTGAAGACCAATACTTAATTTGGAGGGAATAACACACAAACCGATTATTTGTTTTGAAGACAAGATTTAATTTATGCAAATGCAACATCCTAATTATCGAAGATACAAGCATTTTTCATTCAAGTCACTTTTTTTTTAATTAACTCTTCTAAATTCGATGGATGTAATGCTCGAATGTAATTTTTGAGGAAGCATCTCGGCCGAACCCATTTCTCCGGGCTTCTAAATTCCTTTCCCACACGGCGGAAGCGGGCGCTGTCCTCCACAGGGCCCATTCGGCGGAGGGCGCCGCTCGCTAATTGGGCGGATGCATTTCGGCTTCCCGGTCGACGGTTCCCTCGGCGGGGGAGGGGGGAGGGGAGGGTCGCACTTCCCGTCGGTGCTGGGCTCCGCGGAATGGACCTGTTGCACATTACCATACAAGGGGGGGGGAAGGGGGGGCTGGCCGAGAGGGGTCGCCGTGCATGCCTCGCTGCAACAAAGGCCGGCGGGACATCTCTTGCGCGGCGTTCGACAAGTGTGATAAAACGGGCGCGGTATTCACGAAGCCGGCGTGCAAACGGGACACTGGTTGAATTTATTGATAATGTTTTGGGCGAATCAACGGCTATGATCCAGTAAGTGTATGCGTTTTTTTTTCGGGAGGCAAAGTGATCCCCGCTGGATCGTGAGATCCTACGCCGACCACCTCCACAAGCAGGTTTTTCCCAATCGACAAATGATTGTCGGCCGAACCAATACAAAGTACAACATGTTACAAAGTTTCCAAGTTGTAGGTATTGTGAAGTCAAATCTTCATTCATATGTGTCGTTCTATTGTACAAAATCAGCATTGCCTGGACAAAAATGCCAATGTTGACGTGCGGAATTTGCTACTTTACTTTCGTGCAGTATTCATAAGATTATTAATGAATCCAAAAAAATACCCGT